ATAAGTAATGGAATCTATCAATTTTAACAATACAAGTAATAGAAACTGTTAATGTGTAACAGAATATGTAACTTTATAAGATATATATATCATTTTCCTTAAAAATTACTATATCATTTTCCTTAAAAATTACTAGGATAGAAATTTATTTGTAAATATAAAAACTTGAAATGATCACTCTTGTGGACCCATTGTATGGAAGAGACAATCAAACCTTTTAGGTGGTCTAAATCATGAGTGATGCACATAAGCACATTTCATGTGCTCCTGCTCTTGCTTTGTCCACGGAGTGCTTCCTTTGTGGTCTCCTTTTCACCTTTCAGGGACCAAGATAAAGTACTGTTCCTTTTTCATGCTTGACTTTGGAACCTAATTCATTGGTTTCATCACTTTTTTTGTGTAGAGGCCCTAAAAGCAACCCTAATCTCCAAAAATAAGTCTTTAGATATATAGTGCTTATTTAGCACTTTTTTTTTTTTTTTTGTATATCAGATGATGAGATATATAATAAGAAATAGTTATCTTCACCAATCTTAGCATTTAAATTTGAGATTTTTAATATGTAGATTCAAACTCTTAACTATTGGGATGTCTTCTAGGTGACATGGAGCTTATTTAGTTCATATGTAGTTTCATGATCATGTAGACATTAGCAAATAATTCCCTTTTTCTGATAATTAAGAAGAAGTTTATAATGAGAAATTCTCTTAGTTATTAGTTTAGTCGGTAACATGGATGTGGTCCAACAAAAACCCTACTTAATTAGTTTGTTCTTGATGATGAGCTCCTTTCACGTTCAAAGAATCCATGGAAGGATAAACATTTTAAACATGCTACACTCTTAATCTAAAGAATGGAGCTCAAAAGTACAATGGGGGTAATGATCTTCTTAGCTTAACAAGATTTTGTTTATTGTTTGATAATTAAGTTCTTTAATCATCATCACATTAGCCTTTACACATAGGTAAAGGGACATTCTATCTTATGATTAAGCATCTCTATATACAAGATTACCATAACACTATTTTATTGGATTATATAATGTGAAGTAACGTTCTTCATATCCTTACTCACCTAACCCATATATCACTCAACCAATCAAATTAACTAGGACTCAAAAGTTCTTTTATTAAAGGAAGAATATTTATTAATCAAATAATATCAATTATTACAATCATATAACTCATAAGATTCGATATCAAACCTTTTTGAAATTGTCACAAAGGCTTAAAAAGTTACCTATGTACAAAATGGTTAGTTTACATAACTTAATTACATGAATAAAATCACATTAGCTAAACCATCAAACTTATGATTGTTGGCAGGGATTGGAATTTGCTGCTACCCTTGGCAAGGCTCTAGGATCCATCCCCTCTTCATCTCTACTACTCTAACCATGGTCCTTACTTTTACATAAGACTTTAGTTTCTACACTGAGATCTAGATATATTACACGCACACCTCTCCTAAGTCTCCACTCACCATAATCTCTCTATCTAATTAAATCACATCTTGTCCTCCTCTGTGGTAGAAGCAGTTAAAGTGTCAGAGAAAACAAAAGACGATAGAAACAGACAAGAACAAACCCAACCTCACTGCCAAAGGCACTTGTGCAACCAACAAGGCTAACAAAACTAAAGAGCCCTCCAAAGAAAAACTAAACAGATAGAGACTATTGTGGATCTAAGTTAATTAAGGCAGGTTTAGTGGAATAATTATTAATCCTAAATCTAATTATGTAATATATATATATATAGATCTATAAACCATCATGATAATTGTAGAAAAGGTATCTCAAACTTATTAAAATGTAAAAGGAAAATAATTGATATACTTTCAAATTCAACATATTTGTTAATGTCTACTGGTTCAATTGTTAAAGTTTATACTTTTAAAATTTTCTACATTTAATAGAAATTTAAAAATAATAATTTTTTAATAAATATATTGTAAAATATGTTTAATTAAAAAGTGTATTAATCATTATTTTGATAGAAATTAGGGTGATGAAGGGTAATTAAAAGAAGTATATATATATATATATAAAAACAGAAAATTAGAAAAGGGGTAAAAATAAAATGAAAAAAGTTTAAAATTAGGCAAATATTTTTTCACCCGTAAAAATATAAACCATTAAGCTTTCTATAACCGGGAGGCTCGGAAGCAGGTTCGGTGCCAAGCTTTTCGCTTCCATATTAGAGAAAGAAACTAAGAGAAAACAGAGGGAGAAACTGAGAGAAAGTGCGAGAAAATCTTCTGAAAACCAAACAACAAAATTCTCTCTCTCAATCTCTCGGTTCTGCAGAGAGATCAAACACGAGAAAGAAGACTCAAAAAATTAAAAGAAAAGAAAAAAGAAACCCGTATTGGTTTCTGTTTGAACCGTCGTTTGTTTATGGAGAGAGCTATTATCGCAAGATAAAGGAACCATATGGGTTATACTGGGGTTCTTTTTGGATTCTGGTTTTGATGTTAAGTAGGAAATAATTAGATTTTGAGAATTGGGTCTGGGTTTTTCTTCGTTGGTTTTGAATTCAACGGTTAGTTTTCCTGGGAATGTCGACGGACCAGGCTTTGCAGCTCTCTGCAGCGTCAATTGTAGAAGATGTCCTTCAACAGCAGAGGAAGAGTGGTGTTGATTTTTATTCCATGGTTAATTCAAGAAAAACCGAGGAAGCTTGTAACGATCAATCATTTCTTGTCTTCTTATTCCTACTTTTAAAATTTTCTTTTTTTTGCTTCATTTTATCTAAATTACCAATTGCAACTTTCATTCTTCGTATGATCAATTAATTATTCTCAGTTTCTTGTTATTTGTTTTCTGCATTATGTTCTTTCTGTAAAGTTTTATCTATCTTGAGCTTCATTTCGATATTCTCTTTGGTTTTTCTTGCTTGATTAACAATTTCTCTTTTTTATTGAGGGTGTTGAGTGTTGACATTCATTTTGGAACATGGGGTTGTACAGACTTTAAAGAATATCATGAATTACCTAAAAAGATTCAAGCTCCAATTCAATTTTTTTAAAAATTATGCCTAGATTTTTTTTAATTTATGATAATGTTGAAGAAATCAAAATTAAGAAAAAAATAAGAAGGGGTTTCAATTTTTTCAGCTTTTAGACGAAATGAAGCTGCTAGGTGGCTGAGAAGGACGGTTGGTGTTGTTGGGGGTAAAGACTTGCCAGCAGAGCCATCTGAAGAAGAATTCAGACTTGCATTACGAAGTGGAATAATCCTTTGCAATGTCCTTAACAAGGTTCACCCTGGTTCAGTGCAAAAAGTATGCCTTAAGCATTTTCTTTAAATATTGCACTTCATATTACCTTCTTGTTGGTTTTCTTGCCAAATGTTCATCTGTCTATTTGTTGGGATTTCACTTTAGGTTGTCGAGAGTCCGGGTCATTCTGTTCTTATTCCTGATGGGAATGGTCTATCTGCATTCCAGTACTTTGAAAATGTTAGGAACTTCCTTGTAGCTATGGAAGAAATGGGGCTTCCAACATTTGATGTCTCGGATTTGGAACAGGTAAGCATGAATGTTTTTTGACAACTGAAATGAATATTTATCAAGATTTTGGATGTGAATTTGCCGTTAAGTTGTGCTTGTTTCTTTTTGTGTTCTTCAGGGAGGTAAATCTTCAAGGACTGTGAACTGTGTTCTAGCATTGAAGTCTTACAGTGAGTGGAGACAGGGTGGTGGGAATGGATCATGGAAATATGCTGCGAATGCAAAACCACCAAGCTCAGGACCAGGGTCTGCAGGGAAGCAATTTGTTCGAAAAAATTCATCCATGAATTCCATTGTAAGGTCTCTATTGGAGAAATCTGTAGATAGCTTGGCCAGTGAGCAGTCTGACACCTGTGAAGCAGTCAGTGGGCTTTGTTGTTTATTTATGATTTGTTTATTTGTGCTGACGAAGAAAGAAGAAATGCCTAAAACATCATTGAAATCTAATCTGCAGGATACCACCACTAGTCCCATTTATTCACTAGTTCGTGCATCACTTTTGGATAAGAAGCCAGAAGAAATTCCAATGGTAAGTTGCCTCTGCTTTAATGTGAAAATACTTGAAGAATTATCATAGTCAGGATTGGAGATAGAGTAGAATCTAATAGTCCTCAAACTTATTAGGCAAATACTAGAAATGCATGACTGAACATGGTCAGCTAAATGTTCAAGCCATGAACCGCCCAGGTCTACCAGTATTGATTTTTGTGTATAATTTCATAAGCACCAAATTTTGGTAGTAAACTTTAACTTTGATACCTGACCCAACCATTCTTGCTTTGAACCTTCTGCTTGTAACAGATTGTGGAATCTCTGTTAGGTAAAGTCATGGAGGAGTTTGACGGTCAATTAGCAAGCCAAAATGAACTGGTAAGGAATTCTCTTTCTTCCACATTTGTATTTGTTCTGTTTCTAGACAGGCTGTTTAAGTGTGGACTTGTGGATTGGAGAGCATGTATTCATTGTCTAGTTTATAAGATGGAACAAACATTTCTTGAGTCCTTAGTTTCTCATGTGCAGCTCTTTCTCAAAGATGAAAGTAATTTTTTTGTAATCTGACAGATTAAATCAATTCCAAAAGATGCAGAAGAATCTGGCCCTAGCCGTTCTCTTTCAATAACTTCTTTTGATCCCAAGGTTTGATTGATTGTTTGTTCTTTTTGCATGCAGCCTACTAACATTGACTGTTTCACCTGATTATGTTTTCAAATTCTTTATGAATTATGATGAAGGTTGAAGCTGAAGCCCCAGCAATTAAGGATGAAGTGGAAGCTTTAATAGATGTTGAAGTAGAAGGTTCAATGGTGAAGGCTGAGGTAGAATCTCCAGCAGTGAAGGTTGAGGATGCAACTCCTATTGATAAAAGGAGCGAAGAAGAATCTTCGAATAAAATAGAAAAAGAGGAACAAGACAATCAAATGTTGGTTGAACAACAGCAACGAGCTGAGGAATCAGATGGTCGTTTGTTGAAATTGAAACAGAAAATACTGATTGAACAACAACAAAGAGGTGATGAAACAGAAGGTCGTCTTATGAAATTGAAACAGAAAATACTGATTGAACAACAACAAAGAGGTGATGAAACAGAAGGTCGTCTTATGAAATTGAAACAGAAAATGTTGATTGAACAACAACGATGGGATAAGGAATCAAAAGCTCATTTATTGAAACAGAAAATGTGTGTCGAACAACAATGCCAAGATGTTCAGGTAGTTGTCACTTTGCAGCAGTATCATTCCAATTATAAAAGCTATTTTAATATCCTATTAGGATGTAAATCTTATAGTGTTGGTTTTTCTAGGAATTGAAACATACTCTTCATATTACAAAAGAGGGTATGCAAATTTTGCAAGTGAAATGCTGGGAGGAGTTTAACAATATAGGTATAAAGCTTAATGTAAATGCTAGTATGCTTTTGTGTGGCTCTTAGTAAAATGAAAACAATATTTCTCATTCTAGCTTCTTTTCATAGGTAATCATTTGCGTTCGCTAGCCCATGCTGCAGCAGGATACCAACGAGTTCTTGAGGAAAACCGCAAGTTATACAATCAACTTCAAGACTTGAAAGGTAGCATTCCTAAGATTTCAGCATTCTAATAATGACTCCATCACCATAATTGATTCAAATCTAAACTATATTCTTCTTTTGTTTTTTTTAAAATGAACTTCACTCTTTTGTATGTTATGTTTGATTAGGAAATATTCGAGTGTACTGTCGAGTAAGGCCATTTTTAGGAGGGCAATCAACTCGTCTAGTTAGTGTTCTGGATAACATAGATGAAGGAAGCATTACTATTGTAACCCCTTCCAAGTATGGAAAAGGACGAAAAGCATTTACTTTCAACAAAGTATTTGGTCCCTCAGCAAGCCAAGGTTAGTAAAGTCCATCAAAGGTTTTCCCCCCATTTTCTATATAATATTTCTTATCCTAAGCACGCATTTCCTTTCCTTGCAGCTGAGGTGTTCTCAGATACTCAACCTTTGATTCGTTCTGTTCTTGATGGTTATAATGTTTGTATATTTGCTTATGGCCAAACAGGAACGGGAAAAACTTACACTATGGTAAGAAATGCAGACATTGTGACACTAATGATAATGCTAATTTCTTATTCTGTTATGTGAATTGTGTCTTTCTTCTTTTCTTTTTCTGTCTGGCTAACTTGTTTTAGCCATCCAATCATCTTCTGTAAAACTCATCTCTTTCATAAATCCAGACTGGACCTAAGGAGCTTACTGAGGAAGGCCTAGGTGTAAACTACAGGGCATTGGGTGATCTATTTCTTCTCTCAGAGAAGAGGAAAGATACCATTTGCTATGAAATTTCTGTGCAGATGCTTGAGATTTACAATGAGCAAGTCAGGGATCTCCTTGTGAGTGATGGTGGTCTAAACAAGAAATATCCTTTATAACAGTCCAGTTTGTTTTTCTATAATGTTATATTTGCTTAATATATCTCGTGGTCCTTGTGAGCTTAACTCTTGCATACATTAGAAATTCGAAACAGCTCCAGTAATGGGATCAATGTACCAGATGCAAACCTTGTGCCAGTATCATCAACATCAGATGTTATAAATTTGATGAACCTTGGGCACAAAAATCGTGCAGTTGGTGCTACAGCCATGAATGATCAAAGCAGTCGATCTCATAGGTAACTTTTCATGTTTTATTCATGCTTTTGAGATTACTGATTATAGTGTTCTTTTATGCTCTTTATGATACTAAAGGCTTCCCTTTTTGTATCCACATCCAGCTGCTTGACTGTTCATGTTCAAGGAAGAGACCTAACATCTGGGACCATTATTCGTGGCTCTCTGCATCTGGTTGACCTGGCAGGTAGTGAGAGGGTAGATAAATCCGAGGTAATGGGAGATAGGTTGAAGGAGGCTGTACACATCAACAAATCTCTTTCTGCTTTAGGAGATGTCATTGCCTCTCTTGCTCAAAAAGGTTCACATGTTCCCTATAGGAACAGTAAACTCACTCAATTGCTTCAAGACTCACTTGGTAAGATTATCTAACTCCCTGTAGCCTACAAAGGCAAATTCTTCCCATTTTTTGTTGATTTGCCTGCATCATGATTGTGTTAATGATCCGATCCTTTTTATCTTTCAGGAGGACAAGCCAAAACGCTAATGTTTGTTCACATTAGTCCAGAGCCTGAAGCTCTTTCCGAAACAATTAGTACACTCAAATTTGCTGAACGGGTTGCCACTGTTGAGCTAGGTGCTGCTAAAGTTAACAAAGATACTGGAGAAGTGAAAGAGCTAAAAGAACAGGTTTCAGCTTTCACATGCCTTAGCTAGCCTTAAAGCTTCTATTCTCTATGCCTAGTTGTGGTCAAAAGTTTTGGAAATAATTATTGTCCCATTTATTAATCTATCATGCTTTGGTTTTTCTAACAAAAAAATATAAAAAATAAAGCACTAAAGCATTTGACTTAACCAACTGTTTTCAGATAGCTAGCCTTAAAGCGGCCTTAGCAAGGAAGGAAGAAGTTGATAACACAAACTACACTCAGACAGGCAGCTCTTTACATCCTAAATTCCGTAGTACTGGTGATATGTCCAGCAGTCGCAGGCAATCATTGGACAATGCTATTACCAGAAAGGTAATATATATTTTTAATAAGAAACTGGAACTGCTGAGCTAAGATTAATTACAACTTCTAGAAACAAATCAAATGTCCTAGATGATTCTATTATTATGTTAAAATTCTAGAAGGATTATACAATAAAAGTGCAAATGGAAATTCGAGCATGGCATATAGGATGGAAACCAAAAATCATTAATCCCTTAAATACTCATCCTCCCGAACTATTGAACCAAGTAGGATTTTGGATAACCTGATTTTAAAATAGCCTTAGGAGTTTTCAGTAATCATCTTTGCAGATATGAAAAAGCTGATGATTTTCGGTGTGCATGCATCTTTGATATGCCTGTCAGAATTACCTAACATGAAATACTTGTCTCCTACTTCAGAATGATTCCTCATCCACTTCAAGGAGACACAGCCTTGATCTCCAAGAATTGTCAGCACATTCATCTGAATCATCTCTGTGGCCACAGCTTAGCAGTCCTGCTTTGAGTATAAAGGATGATGATAGAGGATCAGTTTCTAGTGATTGGGTTGATAAGGTTATGTTGAACAAGGGTGAAAACTTAAACTTTGGAAGTTTGGAACCTGAGAAGTTATACCAGAGTTGTATTCCTGTTCCTACGAAGATATTCCCAGAACATAACTCAGATAAATTTACTGCAAACAGAAGGGACAGCCAAGATTCTGATGTACTGCAAACTCAGTATGAATTTGTAACCACTGATGACTCAGACTTTGATGCTGCGACAAGTGATTATTCAGAGACAGACTCATTGTGGCAATCCAGTATTCCCAAAGTTACCAACATTCCGAGTGGTGTGGGGCCTAAGGCAAAGAAACCCAACCCCAAGGCAGCAAAAAGCACTGAAACTAGGTAAGCTCTCTGATCAACAATAACCATTCCCTCATTAAGTAGAAGTACAGGTGCTTTACATTTATATACACATACAACACTTCATACTATCATAAATTTCTATCACAAAACATTTCATGCTAGAATGCAATTAGTGCCACACTTTTCATTTGCTACCAAACTTGTTTTCATTCCTCTTATAAGCTTGCCATCTTAGAATGATGCAGCTCATGGTTGGTTGGAGAAATGGCTAATTCTTGGTGAAACCATAAAATTAAGGTAAAGTAGATAGAGGGCATGACATGTTAGGAATGGCTATTCCTTATTTTCACCAATTTTCTTCAGACATGATGAAATAAGGTGCAAGTAGCTAATATCAACTCCCCTTAATTAACTTTTAGCTAGTCCCTCTCAATTCTCACTTATTAGATGAAAATGTTGCATGTAGGGAACTTCAATTAATTTTATGCTTTGACCATGGAATAGGATTTCCGTCCAACCAAATCAGCCAAAAGAGTTATGTTACTTCCATGCTTAGAAGAAGACTTGAAATAATGCTGCTCTTTTCTTGTTTCCAAATTTGTGCCTTCTAGTCTAACTTCTGCCACTTAACGTTGGTTCATGAAATGTGATATCCTTTTTTATGATTTTCTACTAGAAGTTCAATTCCATCCTTAATTCCTTCTATGCAAGCACGTAAAGCCTCCAATGGTGTTAATTCAAACTTGCACAAGCCTGGAAGACAGAAAGTTACTGTGGGTGGAAGGCGAAAAATTGGACATGCAAAGTAAGCATAGACCATACAAAGTGTGTGGTAAGGGAACTGTCCTTGCCATTCTTTCCTTTTATTTATTTATTTTTCCACCTTTTCTTGTGTATCCATATTCCATCATTTAGTTGTAGAAAGAGAGAAAGAAAGCGACATATATCAAGTTGCAACCAAATCAGTTGCCTGTTTTTCAATTGTGGCATCATGGTATTGTTCCATGTCTTTGAGTTGCTTACACGGGTGTGGATTTCCTGAATTTCATTTTTTTTTTCACTACTGTTTTCCTTTCAATTAATTGTTCTTCAACATAGTGAACAAGATAGAAAGAAAAAAACTACCAAATGAAAGCAAAAGTGAGATATTTGTATCCATCTTCATTTCTGTTTTCTTTTCTGCATTGTTACATACCATGGTCTTAGATGTGATCTTTTGCCCCAACAAATAGTCACTTGCAAGTTGGAACGTTGGCCTTAGCGTGGTGTTCACTTACTAGGTGTTTCAGCCCTTGATCCACTACTCCATTCATTCCAAAACAATTGTCATTTTTTTTACTCAAAATTTTTCATGATATTGTCCTTTTCTATTTATTATGACAGACATATTTGCTTTTCAACTTTAATCTTATTATTATTACTTAACTTTAATTATCTACCTTATATATTTATTTTTTAAGATAATATAAGCAAAAACATAAATTATTAACAAATTCTTTATTTGTGAGAAATGAAACAACAGTGATTTTGTGATAAAAGTGGTAGAGTTCAATCCCTTCAACCCCATTTCCACTACAAGTCCCCAACATTCCCCTGTTGAAAAAGGAATGGCTTTTTTACAAGGGCGCGTGATAGTATAATAATTGTTGTCTAATTATTATATCTATTAATAATTAATTATCTTTAAAATATAAATATTAACTTTAATTTTTTTCTTATTTTGAATTGCACAATAAAAGATTATTTTCTTTTATCTTTTAATTCACTTTACAATATGATTTGAATTTAAAATTTTTTACTTTTAATATAAAAAGATTACTACTAAATTAGTTAAATAATTATGAAATTAACTATAATTTTATTATAATATAAATACTAATTTGACATGTGATATTATTAATAAAAGACAAAAATGTATTATCGTGATTATCACGCCACGGTATAAAAAATCTTAAAAAGAAAGAAAAAAAAAAAAGACCTAGGGTGTTGTTGCATGTCATTGTCCCCTTTCCATGAAGGATCTCGACCCCTTTGGAATTAGTGGCCTTAAACCCTGTATAGGACCCGCGAAACACATGGCCACATAAGCAGTTGCTTTTGACGTTGTAGTCGGTCAATTCCACTTAAGGCAAGCCCCTCCCTTCAAAGTTGTCCTCAACAAAAGGATTGGATGATGGGAATGGTTATTGTAATATAAATATTTGTTAAGATCGATGCAAAAATATTTTAAGTGTGTTTAGTTGCTAACCGTAAAACATTCACCTACAAATGCAAGCGCACATTATCGTGTCAAGTAATAAAGAGCGAGTAAAGTATCGTTTCTACGAGGATTAATGATGAAAAATTCTACCGAGTACTTAAATTATGTTAGTGTTAATTTTATCTAACTATCAAAAACTCTTAATGTAAAAGTAAATTTCTTAAACTAAACTAAAGAAAATAACTAATTCTTAAAAATGATAGTTTAACTTTTATAAAAAGTTCAAGGTTATGTCTATTCACATGCACAATTCATTTGCATTTAATTCATCCAAATCCTGATTATTTTTCTCTCTTGAATCATGTCCAAGAATTCTTGAGTTTTTACTGATCTTCTTTCAAGTGACAGTAAATTATCTCAACCCACCTAATTATATATTTCTATATGCAGTGCAGTGAATTGAAACTAAAATTCAAGTGCAATGATTCTTCTCTTAAGAACACATCAATTCTGAGAGTATATTTCTAACTCCTCAAATTAATGGCATTCATTTGGTGGTCTCATTTAACTATTCCCTCTCAGTTCAAGTTAAACATCCATACATCTTGTTAATGCTTAATATCTAAATCCACCCCTAAAGTATAGTAGCAGGAACGGATCCACCATCAAACAAAAAACAAGGACAAATCCAATCACAAAATTTTTGATTTGGATAAATCATCCAAAATTTAATATGTGACGTCATTTGATGTCAGCAATCCGTTATTAGCGATATAACAAATTGATGGATTGTTGACGTCAGATGATGTCATATGTTAAATTTGGGGTGATTTGTCCAAATCAAAAACTTTGTGGATAGATTTGTTCTTATTTTTTTGTTTGAAACTGGATATGTATTTGTCACTATATTTTGGAGGTGGATTTGAGTATTTTGCTTCTTGTTAATTGGCCAATTCAACAAGAAAACAATCTACAAATGAAATACTAATTCAAAATGAAACAAAATAGATCAGGCTCTGATTTCTTAGAATGAAAACTTAATGATTCCGATTTCAACATAACTTCAATTACAAAATTACTCCATAATCCAAGATAGAAAACAAACAATTGTACTGGAATTCATTAAAATTAAAACAGAAAAGTAAAACTAAACACAGGTTTTCTATGGATACAAAAAAATAAATTACTAATATGAATTTGGAAGAAGTTTGCCCACTGAATGTTGCTCATGAGAAAGATAAAAAAATGTAAAATTTCCCCTTTTTGCCTACTGTTTTTCTCTCCTTTTTCAACATCCAAAAGACAGTTTTCCTTTGATAGTTTCTTCCCCCTTTTGCTCCAATTCGTCCTTCCTATTTTCACGTTAAAAAATGCCCACTAACTCCAAAACTGCCCTGCTATCTTTCATGCCATGACATTTGATGATGTGGCTCTTAATATTTGAAGTTGGTTTGACTTGAAGCAAGCTCGAACCATAATCTTCAATCCTTCAACTTTTCAAAAATTGCTATTCTAACCCTCACCTTAAGAGAAAACAACCAAATTATGTAAAATCACAAAAAATCTCACATAAATTATACAGTGATCTTAAAATTAAGACTAGATTAGCTTATAAAACTGCATAAAAATTGGTCTCATCATTAGTTTGCTTGTTAAAATTAATTAACGTTATAGTTATTAATTAAAAGTTTATAAAATAGTCAATTTTTATTATTTAATGGTTTAAAATCAATTTAATTATATATTAATATTTTCAAATATTTTGACTAATTATAAATTAATCAAAGTAAATAAATTTATTATAATTTGTGTAGACTTAGCAAATATTTATGTGACCATAAACATGTCGATAATATAAAATACTAGTCAATTATTAATTTTTAAGAAGATGAACTAGGATTGCACCTGGCCCTTGCGGTCTAGTGGCAATAGCCACTTCGGTGCATTCCCCTTTTTCCGGACTGGGTTCGAAACCCACCCCTTGCAAATATGTTAAAAAAAAAAAAAAAAAAAAGATGAACTAGGATTGGTAACTATTAGCTCTGTTTGTCCACATCCCACTCATTAAGGGTATACTTAATTTAAGAGAAAGAAAATGAAGAAATAATAAATTTTTTGTCTAATCAAATTAAAATTTTATCTCAACATTTGAATTTGATTAAATGGGATCTACTCTTTTTTATTTTTTTCAAACCAAACATATTTTACAAATCGAAGATTTTATAGTTAAGATTTAGAATTTAAATTTTAAAATAAAATAAAATCAAAAACTTTCAAATCTTACCTGAGTGGGTAGTAGGTAGTGTCGTCTCTACCCCTATAGGTTAGGTTTTTATGTGTATTTTTTTAATAGGAAAGACACTTAGGAGTTCATAACCTAACAATTTTTCTTTGAGACTTATAAATTGATGTTAATCTTGATTTGACTGTAGTAGATACTTTAGCTACTTTGGGCTAAGTAACCAATATTGATATTCTATTATAGCAGTGAGTACCTTTTTCCATAAAAATCATTCTCTTAAATATATTTTTCTCTTTTCCGGTTTGAATAATGCAACACAATGCAACTTTCTTCATCTTAATCCCACCTAACTTTGCCAGCCAAAACCCAACCACATATATTGATATTGTATTTCGTTGTGGAACCTTTTCTATCACAGCGGATGAGCACAAAAGTTAGAAGGGGTAGAGGCATGTAGATATTATTTTTGTATAGTTTTTTATATAATAATAAAATTATTAAATGAATAATGCATATAATATTATAAATTTTAATAAAATAAAAAAATTAATTATTAAATGAAATATAAAATTATATTAAAAAATTAAATAAAAAAAAATTCTCAATCATTTCCCAAAGGTAAATCAAAAGTAAACAACTTGAAGGTCTTAGTTCACAATGCAACGTTTCTTGTGTGTATTAGGATATGATGAAGTGAACTGGAAAAGAAAGACAAAGATAAAGAATGTTTATGGATTTAGATATCTCTTGTACTTACAATAATAAATTATTTTTATTTTGTTAACAAAAAAAAAAAAAGTAAACATCTTGAAAACGACTCCATTTGCCCCACAGTTTACCCAAATTTCTTCCCATTTCCCCTTAATTAACAACCAAATTAATCATTACCATATACTAACATCATAAAATGAGGGGGAAAAGCATAAGTCAAACCCCACCTGCTTTTCTTTTGACGTTCACCACCCTTTTTCCAAATACTTACACTAAAAAAACACTTTAAAAAGCAAAAGAAATTATTCTAAATTTACATATATAGGGATGTTTGGATTGCTTTCTTGGGAGACATCTTCTTCTGGGATTTTGAAGGATATTTTGATATTTATATATTTTAAAATTATAATAAATAAAAGATAAACATGATATTTTTAATATTTATTTTCTTTAATATTATTTCTAACTCATAAACTTTTCTTTCCATCTTAGAAAAAATGCTTCTCACATAACCTTCACCATATAAAACCTACTTAACAAGTTTCCCGACCTACTCTCCCTATGTCAATTTCTTACCAATTATAATAAGGTTAACAACTTAATAAAATTTTATTACAAAACTTAATAATTTTTTATATAATATTTTTTAACTTTTTATACAGGATTTTAACTAATTATTTTTTCAAGAAAAATTTTCTTAAAAATATAAGTTTTTAACCAAATACACCCATAATTTATTTCCTGCTATTTTTGTAATATGATGGACACAACAGTGCTGCTGAAGGTGCTAAGCGCCTTTAGCATTAGGCATCTTGTTAGCGCCTAAACTATCTTGGTGATCTATACACAACTTCTTTTAAAAATAAAATTTTAAAAAATTTAGAAAGATTTGGAAGAATAAAATAACCATTTAAAAGTCTAAAATCATTTAATCAACAAAATTGACTAAAAGACTAGAGTCGACATAACTAAAATAAATCTATTAAATTGAAGAAGAAGAAGAAGACCAAGCTAAAGAAACCCTAAATGATCGGCCAATTTAGGGTGTTATTATTTTTTCACCTTTGACGACCAAACAACACTACTATTTGTTCCTTATTAGCTAAAAAGATGGAAAACAAAATGTCATGGTTTAAATTAAACCAAAAAAGGATATAGAGGTTACGGGTGGGATTGCCTTGTTACTCAGGTCAAGGTTGGCGGCATAAGGTTGCCTAGCACATGGGCGCTACGTAGGTGAGTTGCCGTCTTTTGCAATATTAGTACACACCAGAGAATGGATGTTCAAATTACCCATTCAAGTGCAGTAACAATAGGTCTTATTATGATTAGGGGATAAGTCAAGTAACTTTTTTTTTTAGTAGCAATATAATTTTATTAATTGAAATAGAAAGGGTACTTTTATTCTTTACATACTGAACGTAAAGAATATCTCAATAGCAATACATATAGGATATCTAAACCCTGTAAATTAAGTAATTTGAATTCACAAACTACTTAATTTAAACTTTAATTCAAATTTAAGGAATAATCGGGCTTGATCTTGAGCTTGGTAATATTGTGTTATAATAATCGAGCTCTTCAGGGATACTCATAGCTTCCTTGACTCTCCGAATTAAAACTTGACAAAGCATATGTTTGACAAAGTTTGACATTATCTCAATGAAAGTGACTCAAGCTCGGGTATTGAGATACTAGGCTGATCTATTGCCCTAATTAGAATCCTTGTCGTATAAGCATTTAACTGGTATAATATACTTCAACCTCCAAACATTACGAACCAAACCATCGGATTTATTGATTTATCTTTTGAACCCAAATATTTATATTCAAATAATTTAAGAGTTATACGAAAACTTATTATTACTTAAAAAAATATTCCTTCATCTATTAAATTCTCTCATATTCAAAAAATAAAAAAAAAATCCAAACATTATAAAAAAATATTGTAGCTTGAAAGAAAATTTTTTTAAAAAATTTATTTTCAAGAAAATATTTCTTTTCAAAATCATAAAAATAATAGTTTTTTCTTTTTAATTCCTATTTCACAGAATGGAAGCACTTTTCCCACGTTTGTTACTCGACATGCATTTTATTTTCGGAGGACTCTGTTCTCCTTGGCTTTCTCTCTACCAAACACTCCTAGAATTTAAGGCATAAATGTCATAATCTACGCAGCTCTGTCCAAAAATCTCCGCCTAAAACCCGCGTTTCTCTCTGTAGATTTTTATCGTAGTCAAATCCCACAATCCATCCTGCTGTCACTCCCTTTATCTCTCCCAAAAATCTCTCCTTTACAGGTTTTGGGGTTAAGAAGATCAAACAGATACCGTCTAAGTTTGCAGAAATGAGTAGGGGCACAATGTACCCTTCTGTCAGCTTGATCTGCTGATTCTTCGACTGTGAGTTTTGGGATTCTCTAATTTCCACCAATTTTTACTCTTTTTTTTCTTTTTTCCTATTTTTAGTTTTTAGAGGTTCTTTTTGTGCTTAATTGACTTTGTACTGTGGATCTCGAACTAAATTTTGTGTCTGCATGGAGAAAATTGAAAATTTGTTGTAGATTTGTACAAAAGTTGATGAAAGATAAGAACTTGTGAAATTGGTTTTATGGGGTTTGCTTTGGGAGATTAATTGTGTATGTTGTCTTTTCTGACACTGCTGCGTGCCATTGATGTGGTGCTTTCAGATCGGTTGATGGGATTTGTGTTTACCATGGTGAACTGAAGTGAGGAAATGTGTGTAGATGTTTTTGGTTGATTGATCTTGTTGGGTGTGTTTACGATCTGTTTGCTAATTAAATGGTAAAACTGGGTGCAGAGACCTAATGATCAACTATACATGATATATGAGATTACCTTGTTGTTTATTTTTCAATTTTGTGATAAATTACATTTTATTTTTGGGAGGGGGGGGGGGGGGGTAGTTCTCTGTTTTACCAATCAGTTTGTTAAACTAAACTGATTTCTTGTGTGCGCCTTTTTTTTGTTGGCCGTCATTTCTTGTGTGCTTGATCAGTGTATTTTCCTTGACATTTGATACAATGGAGTTCTGAAAATGCTTTCTTGTTTTGATTGGGATTTTTAGGGTTTTGGCATTGAAGTTTTGGAAATGTTAAAACCTGGACTACCATGAGCCAGGCTGAAGTATCAAAGATGAAGCTGCCTCTTGTTCCACTGGGGACCTTGATTGGTCGTGAGCTGAGGAATGAGAAGGTTGAGAAACCTTTTGTCAAGTTTGGACAGGCTGATCTGGCGAGAAAAGGAGAGGATTACTTTCTGATTAAACCTGATTGTCAGAGGGTTCCTGGAAATCCAGCAACATCTTTTTCAGTGTTTGCGGTACCCCCCACCCCTCTACCAGCTTACGCAGCATGTAAATTATAATTCTTATTTAGTTCGGAGGAACCTCATAGATGAAAAGAAAATCTAATTGCAACTTGGGAAAAATTAACTGAATTTAGTTCTGATTAGATGTTGTTTTATTTAGTCATGTACTAAATGACAGCATAAGTCTCGTGGTTTACTCCCCCTCTCTTCCTGCATTTTCATACCTATATTTTGTAATGAGGTCTGCTTCTCTTATATAACATTATCAGAACACTTGGCACAGCTTCTTATATGGGTTTTATTGGCAGATTTTTGATGGGCATAATGGTATATCAGCTGCCATTTTTGCCAAAGAGAACTTATTGGATAATGTCTTGAGTGCAATTCCTCAGGGCATTAATAGGGAAGAGTGGCTTCAAGCCCTTCCCCGGGCTCTAGTGGCAGGCTTTGTGAAAACTGACATAGAGTTTCAGCAGAGAGGTCCATAATCAATTCTGTTTTCATTTATCAGATGAGTTTCTGCTGTATGCTTATGTCTGTGGTTGGTTATAAATGCCAGGGGAAACTTCTGGAACAACTGTGACGTTTGTTGTTATTGATGGTTGGACTGTCACTGTTGCATCAGTTGGTGATTCTCGATGCATACTGGATACCCAAGGGGGTGTAGTTTCTCTCCTGACTGTAGATCACAGACTGGAAGAGAATGTGGAAGAGAGGGAACGCGTGACTGCAAGTGGGGGTGAAGTAGGAAGACTCAATGTTTTTGGGCGCAATGAGGTATGCTGCTCTTACTAGAGAGAAGTGAATTATCTTTGATCTTTCATTGTAATTTCATTTCTTTTTTCTTCCTTTGGGGAGGGCTGGTGAAAGGAGAGGGAGCAAAGTCTTTAGGGAAGGTTATGAATGTTTTTATCATGGGTTATCTTTATGGATCTGATGTGTTGTATGTATTGTAGGTTGGTCCCCTCCGTTGCTGGCCTGGTGGATTATGCCTATCTAGGTCAATTGGGGACACAGATGTTGGGGAATTTATTGTGCCTATACCGCATGTCAAGCAAGTGAAGGTGAGGTTCTCTTGCCTTCTTGTTGGTGGGTTTATTAATTCTTGGTGCTGTATTTTGAATCTTCCAACTTCCTTTCTGTATCCTTAGCTGTCAAATGCTGGTGGAAGACTCATTATTGCTTCTGATGGTATCTGGGATGCTCTGTCTTCAGACCTGGCAGCCAAGTCATGTCGAGGTTTACCTGCAGAACTTGCAGCAAAGCTTGTTGTTAAGGTGATGTTTAGCCTGTGCTTCTCTCTCTGTATACATTCTAGACGAGACTTTTAGTTTCTACTTTTTAATGCCAATTTTTTTATTAATTCTGGTTTCCTAACTCTATAGGACGCTTTGAGGTCAAGGGGCCTGAAGGATGATACAACCTGCTTGGTTGTTGATATAATCCCATCTGACCAACCTGTCCTACCACAAACACCAAGGAAAAAACAGAATGTGCTCATTTCATTTCTCTTTGGGAAGCGATCTCAAAATGCTACAAACAAGGCAAAAAATAAACTTTCTGCAGTTGGAGTTGTAGAGGAGTTGTTTGAGGAGGGTTCTGCCATGCTTGCTGAAAGGTATTGCAAACTCCAAAGGTGTTCTGATTCTTCTGAAACTGAAATGTCCCTGAAGTTCTAATCCCACTGCTTTAATCTGTCAATGCAGGTTAGGCAAGGATTTTCCAATGGATGCAAACTCTGGGCTCTTCAAATGTGCAGTCTGCCAAGTGGATCAGCCTCCAGCAGAAGGTTTATCAGTAAACTCTGGGCCTTTTTTCTCACCTGCATCAAAGCCCTGGGAGGGACCCTTTCTTTGTGCTAACTGCCGGAAAAAGAAAGATGCCATGGAAGGAAAAAGGCCAACTAGACCTACAGTGACCGCATAACAACTTACCTGGTAAAATAGTATATAGATGGGCTTTTTTTTTTTTTTTTGGTCTGGCTGTATGAACATGCTTGGTTTTTCGTTTTCCCTTTCATGATTTGCAATGGTTGCTTGTAAGAAAGAAATGAGGTAGAGGTAGGTTAGGTGTGTTGCCATGATTTGTTTGTGAGATTCTGGTTTGATCAGTTGTTCTATAACTGACCGCAGACAAAGATTGCTCTCTGATCGATATTTGTGATAGTTTGATTGCTAACAGCTTGAATTTGTAAGTAGAAGTGAAGATTGCATAATGATATATGTATTTCAGTTCCCTGTTCTTTGTTCTTTCAGAATCTGCAATTGTAATTTTTCTCAGCTTCCTTTCATGGTTTTTTCCCTTTTTTGCCAGACTCCTTAATATGGCTCCATTTTAAGTCCATAATTTCAGACTTTTTAATACTAAATAATAGAACCTGTGCCAATAGCTCTTTCATTTAGTCCATGATCTTTCATCCAAAAGAATTGATTTTGAATACCTCTACCCCCACTGAAAATGGCTAGAAAAAAGGAAGAAAGAAGAAAGAAGAAGAAAATTGTCTTGAGTAGTTGGATATTCAATATTAGCTATGTGCTGATCAACACTGCTAAACCAAATAAGGCCTTTATTTAGAAAAGTATCTATTTGATTCAGCTATTTTTTTGTTGGCCAAAAAATTTTCATTTGTTACCCAAGGTAAACCCATTACCTCTTTGTGTGAGAATTCAAGTTATTGCAAAATAAGAGTATTTAAATTATAAATGATTATAAATCATCAGCTATTAATTGTTCTCAAACACTAAATTTAAATGGAGCCCAAATATTTTGATATTGATCCGTGCAATTTTTGTGATATTTAGAAGTTTTGGTTATTTTTCACCTTTAAATGAAATTGAACAGAAACACTTCCTTTTTATTGCTATAGAACAACAGGAACAGAAGTGGATAGAGGATTCTTTGTCCTCGGACATTACAAAAGAAAAAAGAAAAAGGAAAAAAAAAAAACAGCCATTGGTGTATAGAAAAGCATTTTTAGACAAGCATAATATAATAGTTGAAAACATAAGCCAAACTCTCTATTTGTATAGTAGATATTTATTATTTTTTGCAGTTAATATCCTCTAAAATTTTTATTTTCGGTCAACATTTTTTATAATTGAAAACTTGTAAAAAGACTTAAAATTAACGATTTGGTTATGTACAAATTAGGGTGTAAATAAAAAGTTTGATGGTTAACTTTTGGGTTTTTTAATAGTTTTAAGTTATAAAAAAGATTGACCGAGAATGAAAATTCTAGAGAATATTGATTATAAAAAAAAATAATACCTTAGGTGCTAATAGCGGGTCTGGCTGAAAACATATATAGAAACGTAAAACACACAAAACATGCAGAACCAACAGCTTTTGATGAAGACCAGCTAAATTCAATTTGGAGGCAACCATTGAAGCTCAATGCCATAGTTCCATGAATCAACTGGATCATCCGGCTTTATATCCACAACAGAAGTATAGGCAGTACAACCCCCAACCCTAACCCTAATCTGATGTGAGGTCATGGATGCATCTTTCAAGAAGTGGCAACAAAGTTTACCTTTGCAACCGCTTCCCTCATCTGCGTCCTCAAACTGCCTACAAAAGCTGTAAGCAGAGCAGTTTAACGGCGAGAGGAGGATGTTCTCAGAGCAGTTTAGCAACATGACAGTGTTTCTCTTGGATATGTTGAAGGGTAAGTTCTCATCAAGCCTTAAACCTCCTAAAATAAGATCAGAAGAGGAACATGTGTTCTCTATAATCAGGGGAGGGCTTATGACAAGCTTGTAAGAAGTGGGATTAACGCTAAGGATCTTGTAGAAGAACCCTCCAGCTGACAAGAACTCTAGAGCATCATTGTTGCAGTAGACTCTGTATCTAGAGTCTCCACAGTTTGGATCAGTGCTCAGAGGGTATGGAACTTCCATGCTGCCACATTTAGGGCAAGCATCAAGGGCTGACACATGAGCTACTAAAACGAAGAACAAAAAGACAACCAAAAGTGCCATTTTTTTCCTGTGTTTTTAGACAGCATGAGAAGTGCGAGAAATGGGTGCCAATTTATACAGAATGGTGGCTGGAAGCCTGGAACTATTCATATGTGGTCCTTGCATATGAAACAATATGATACAGCAAATTAAAATGGCAAGTGCTTAGCTAAATGGAGAATATAAAAGCTTCCTAAAATAATCAAAGTGCAGCTCCTTCTGCAGCACTTATAAAATCTATCAATAGGCCTCCTCCTAGAGGGGAATTAAATACTAATCAGGTTTGCTAGTCCTCCATGAACTTGGAATGTTACTAGCCATGATTGGGATATACCAACAAATGGAAGCCAAGGGTCGGATTTTTCATTTAAACTATAAATAATTAATTCTTAGTGTCATCAAACTTTCTAGTTATCAAGATAACAAAGGAATAGCACCTTTTGGATGCCATTTTGAATCTAATTAAAATATTAATTTACTAAATTTATAAGTTAGACTACACTATTATTATATAATGTAATTAAAAAAAATACTTCTATTATATCAAACACTTGTATTAAACTAACCATTATAATAATTTGAAAATTATTAAATATATGTCTGATTTGAAGAACATCTTTTTTTTTAACAGAGAGAATATTGAGTTAGTGAGTTAATATTTATTTAGGGTTAGAGTTGAATCAAGATACCGAATGAACTCCATCCGCTACTAATGGAGTAACGTTACCCATTTACTGAGTCACGTGGGAGAGTTGATGTCCGATCTTAAGAACACTTTTATTATGTCTAATACCCATACTAACCTAGCTATCATTATTGCATTTTTTTTCTTTTTTGAAACTACATCATTGTTGTCTGCAAATCATTGGTTACAATAAAATATTACAATGGCAACCATCCTTAAAACTTAATTGATAGAATCCAGCGCATAAAAAGACTAAGAACTTTGGATTTAAAACATGTATATCGAAAATATCCAAACTCTAAAATGCACATGCTTGGCAATGAAGTCAATTCTATTTACCAAAAAAAAAAAAAAAAGATAATGAAGTCATCAATGATTTAAATAATTCAGTAGTTATCTCTTTTCACTGGAAATAAAAGATTCTGAATCGCATAACATGCGGATGAAATGAGATAAAGGATAAGAGATAATTGCCTCTTATTATATAACTAAGATAAAAAAAAAAAAAACAGATAATGAAGTCATTTGTAACTTCTAGCAATCTAACACCTGTCCTATATGGTGAAAAA